CCATCTGTATCCAGCACTGTGGAGTCAATACCGCTATCACTTGCAGTAACACAACATGTTGATACAGATGAGACTAAAGTACCATCCCTTACCATTGTTCCAGATGGTGAGGTTGAAAGTGAAAGCAGTCAACCTACCGTAATGGAGTCGTTTGCTTCTGTCAGTCCGTCAACAATGAAGTCAGAAACAACATCCTTCCTGAGTGCCACAGATGAAGATTTTTCTGGAGACAGCACTACTGTTTTCCCTGAAGTCTCAAGCATCATAACAACAACAGTGCTTTCAAGTGATACTTCAATAACTAAACCAGATCTTGACAGTCCTCGAGAAAGCACTCCTACTTTCATCGATGTCATGGATGGTTCACCCACCTCACCAAGTACTGATGTTAAGAATTTTGATACTATTCACACTCCCAAAATATCTTTCACTTTATCTTCGTCCCTTCACAGCACTGACCATACAGCTGAAATTTCATCTGGAACAGACAAATACTATTCTACAATTGCAAGAGATGAAATTAATTCCCTTACTGAAGAGTTGAGCTCACATGATGAGATAACTCATATACCAGCCTTTGTCAATGCACTTCCTCCATCTTTTTCATCGCTCACCTCAATGGCACTAACAACAAGTCCAGTCGCAGAACTTGAGATTCCATTAATTAGTCACCCAGAGAAAACCTTGCTTTCCCCCTTTACTGACAACACAGTGTTATCTCCTGAACCCTTTACATTAACTGACCAAACTGTAGACATGTTTACCTTATCTTCTTCCTCAGATACAACTTCAACTGAAACAACAGAGATGGTAACAACAAGGAACACTGTTGCTTTTGACTTCATGACTACGACATCAACATCAGCACCATCAACTACTTTCAGTGACTCTCAAAGAACACACACATCCTTTACAGCAACAGTTGAAAGCCTGAAAACTTTGACTCACAGTACAATGATTTCACCTCATGAGTTCATGACAGGGGAGTCTACAGATGCTCCTCTGATTTCTGCCACTACTCAGTTTGAGTCAGAAGCAGGTCATTTACCCGACCCAGACTTCTCAGGAGATTACACATCAACATACACAGATGAAACAGCACCTGAACAGTCCTCTGTGGAATCAGCAACCCTAGCAGTAACAACATTTAGTCCATCAAACACACCTGTATTCACTGGGGAAGAGCACTCAAGTGATAGAGAATTTACAACTTCTACATCTAGTCCCTATACACTCAAAACTTTTCGGCCAATGGCAATACCCAGTATTACCCCAATGATGACCTCTGCCTACAATGACATGGACAACTCTGGCAGCTTCCCTCAAGACTTTGATTTGGAATCAAGTCAAGATGGATCTGGTGAAGGGATATTAATTGAAACTGCTACAAAACCATACAAGGAATTTAAAGTGCAAACTGATGAGACAGAAACAGATGAGACTCAGAGCACATCTGACATGGTCGGTGTTGCATTTTCACCTCAGTCTAGTACACAGGTAACCAAAGAATTTATATCACCAACTCAATCTCCAAGCATGACGAGCCCTGAGATTTACACTTCTGATCAGGGCAGTGGAGTCACCGATCAAGATGAGTGGTCAGGTGATGACTCAAGTGGGTCATCCTCCACAAGAGTACCTGAAAGGGAGAGTTCTGGAGTTTTGGATAGTACAATTTCCTCAGCGGTTACAAATTCAGTGTTTCCAGAAGATAGTGGCCCAGGTGGCCATACCACTGATGTGCTTATTACAGTAAAAGACACAGGATTATCAGTTCTACCCACAACCAAACCAAGAATAACAGGAGCAACTCATGAAAGTACATCTGTTACTAGCACAGAGAGTACAGGCCATTCCATTTTCAGCACAGAGAAACCAACAAGCACAGCAAAAAGACTTAATGAAAGTGGAACAGCTGATGTTCCGAAATCTACTGCACCGGCAGCTTCTCTCTACACCACAGAGAAGTCATACACAACAACAGAATATGCAATCACAAGTAAAAAATCAACACCAAAACCAGATTTTACTTTGACAGAGGTAGAGAGTTCTGGCAACCAAACCACTGTGGAGTTCACCCTAAAGCCTTCAGTGATGGAGACTGCCACATTTTCAGAAACAGCAGGTGAAACCAAGGGTTTTGCAACAGTAACACCAACCTCTGATAACAGGGTTTTCTCACAGGAAAGTAAAATTACTCCAGCAACAGATCATCCCCTTTCAAGCACTGAGAAAGATGAGGTTGCTGTGGCTGAGCACACAACAGAATCCCCCTCTACAGCCCTGCCCTCCCATACAACTGATGCCCTAATATATAATCACACTGTTGTTGATTTCAGCACAGAAAGCTTGAGCGGTGAGCATAAACAAGATGAATTTACATCAATATCTGCCCCAGTTCCCACTGTTATATATCACAGTGTTACAGATCAACAAGTTGAGATTATTACTCCTGACAGGAGCCAAGCCAAGACTCGACTAACTGAACATACACCCACCATAGTTCTGCATGCATCCAAACCATCAACCAGCACATCTATCATATTCATCGAGGATACACAACAGGAAGATAAACTGTTCTCTGGAGTTACAGATAGTATGAGAGAAGACAGCTACAGTACAGAGCTTATTACCAAAGATGATACAATCACTGATGCAGATACGATGTCTGTGGTTCCCTCTTCTTCATTTTATCCAACTATTCTGACAGAGGAAGCTGGGGGTGTCACAGCAATTACAATAACTCAAAAGCTGGAAGTTACACAAGAACCAGAGGGTTCAGGGACTGTTGGTGACACATTTTTGAGTCCTACACCAACCTCAGCCAGTGATACATCATCAGCCTCAACATCTTCTGAATACTTGTTCACTTCAGAATCGTCACCTGTGAAAGACGTTTCTTCGGTAGAAACATCAAGTGAAGTAAATGTCACAAGGTTGCCGCAGGCCACACAAGATACTTCAGTGTCCACTCAGTCAAGCTCTGGAGAAATCTATGATGTTACAACAACACACAAAGTTTTATCATTTGAGACTACCAAACCAATTTCTGATCAATTCCAAGGAGACACTACTGAGATTTCCACTTCCTTATCTTTTTCTTCTCAAATCTTAATGGAAACAGCAGACTCTACCTCTGCCACTTTAGTGACTAGTGAAGATTATGTGGTCACCACAGTTAAAAAAGAAAAATACATGACAGCATCACCCGTAATTCTAACAGCTACAAGTCATGGCATAACTGATAAAACCTTAAGTTCATCCGTTTTCACCCAAACCACTAAACCTTCAGTCATTGTCACACCAGTCTCCACTGAACCTGGAACAATGAAATCCACCAGTAAAACATCTGATGACGACTCTTCAGGTGACTCTGATGACTTTGCACGAGAAAGCTCAGAGAAACCTTCAGCATCATCTTTGGAAATTTGGATGACTGAAAAAACATCTACACCCTCTTCACTGTTTAGTACTGAGCAAGCCAGGTCTGAGATCATGCCTACTCCCCACACTGGCATCTCTTCTGAGAAAAATGTGCCAGCCACAGTGAGCCCAGTGTTGTCTAGTGAGAAGTTAAGCACTGCTATGGTTGTAACTGCCCAGACTGCAGTAACAGTCACAACATTGAAAGGGGAAATTTCAAGTAGTTCAGACAGTGACATCCAGAAAACATCTCCTCATGCTATTATAACTTCATCTCATATGGGGACAGGAGTGGAGCCTGTTGGAGTAGAATCTACAACTCCAAAACCTCCAAGTGAAGAAGAAGAAGAAACTATAGCTACTGACACAAGATCTCCTGCAGTGTCAAGCGCTGTAGACACATCACTAGAGATCTCAGGTGAAGCAACTTATTCATTTTCATTTGAAACAAAAAGGACGCCATCCTCAGGTGTGTCCTCAGTTTCTACCACTGAGACTGAAAAGTTGGTTTTCACTTCAGAAATGACAGACCAGTCACCCAAAATGATAACAGAACCTGCCCTTACCATTCTTGCTTCTACCACTGAGAAGCCAGCTGTAGTATCGACTGAGAGAGACACCTCAACTGATGAAGACAGTTCAAGTTATGCCAAGACGCCAGTGAAGAGTGAAGAGAGGTTTATATCAACAGGAACAAGTATTATTATTTCTACAGCAGGTTCAAGTGAAATGGGATTGAGCACCTTTGGGTCTGACTCTGTCACTCCTAGTTTGTCGACCATTAAGAAGACTATGATTACTAGCACTTTATCCACTCAGCCGGCAAGCTCCCAAACAGATGAGTCAGAATCATTTGAACAAACCTCAGGTCAGACATCCCATGAGGTCTTCAGCACTGCCCATGCAACACAGCCCCCTGCTGTGACCAGATCTATTGAGTCATTGAATACATCAACTTCCTTTGAGTCAGAACCAAAGGAGTCACAAAATGCAGCTATAACAAGCAAAGCTATCTCAGAGACAACAGTAATGATCACCACAATACCCACTTCAAATGTCCCCTCAACACCATCACAGCCAGATGTTGTCATTCAGTTGGACTCAACTCTTTCTCCTCTACAACCACTGACAACTCCCATGGAATTATTTGAACAAGCCAAGTCAGACATTACACTTACACATCGCCCCAACCCGGGTCTTTCTCATGATATATCACTGACCACAACTCACCCTGTATTTGCTAATCATGTCACAAGCCAGACTGCAGTATCAACAGTTGCACCTGCTTTTGTTTCTGAAGACGGCCGTGTTTCGATAGCAGATGGGACAGTTGAACCAGCTGTTGATCAGGTCTCAAGTGGTGCAATGACTCAACGATCTTCAGACCCATTTTATGATGCGTTAACTGATCCACAACCAGATTATGAAGTACTAAATCCTTATGTGGTGGCAGCAGATCCCCTAAACAACCAAACACTAGAAAACGATACAGTGTTAATTTCTACACCACCATCTGTTGTTCAAACACCTGACTCAAAGGTAATAGCAGAAGCTATCATGGTTACGGCATCAACCACGATCAGTGGAAAATCAGTCTCTACCTTCCAAGAAAACAGCATGACTACAGCAAGTGTTGTTAAGCTGGGTGATGATGAGGTTCAGAGTGTCACCTCTGAGCTCTTATCGCCAACATCTAAGTCACCTTCTGTCCCTAATGATAAGGCTGAAAGTGGCTCTGTAAGTTCTGGGATTTCATCCTCCAGCTTTGATGATGTATCTGATGAACTGATGACTACAAAGGCACCAAAGATCATCAGTATAGAACAGGCTCTATCTCCAGATGAAATTAAGAAAGTATTTAAGGTAAATGCTACAGAAGCTTCAAAGAAGGAAGGTGTTGATGTCACGCTTGGGAAAGGTGACATAGGTGTCTCTCTTTACACTGAAATACCAACCAGCACTCAATTCAAGACAGTATCACCAGCCCAGGTGCAAAATCAGCTAGGTACAATTGCATCAACCACACCATCAACCTTTTCTGAGCAAGACCAGAAACAGGACAGTGACATGACTGCACCACCATCAGTTATTGAAGGAAAACCACCAATAAAAGAGGAGGAAACAACCACACCGCCTAATAGAGGATTTGATCTAGGACACACTGTTGTTGGCGAGACTATGGAGATTTCTGGTAAGTTTCCTTCTAAGTTGGCACTGAATTAGAGCAAAAAAAATGAATACTCCAATAAACTTCTTTTTAATTCGACTTTTATTTTACTTTGCCATCAGGAATTGACTCATGCACAGAGGATGTTTGTCTAAATGGAGGCTCTTGCTTGAGGATTGGCAGCACCTATACCTGTCACTGTGCTCCTGGTTTCAGTGGTCATCAATGTGAAATAGGTAGGACAATTCTTGTAAAGCTCACATGAAGCATTGCTAAAAGAACGTGTAATATTTCTGGGACTACAAGTTGTTTTGCTCATCTGCTCCTATTGATTATGTCTGTTTCTTATGAAGATATTGATGAGTGTGAATCAAACCCTTGCCGCAATGGAGGCACGTGTGTCGATGGCTTGGCTTCTTTCACATGTGTGTGTCTCCCAAGCTATGCTGGGCTGTTTTGTGAAGAGGGTAAGTTTGGAATTAATTTAACAATTTTTCTCTCTAGATTCTTTCTTATTATTATTTTTCCCATTAATAAAACTCATCGGTTATTTCTGGGCTGGTCTCAATTATCCAAATTGAGCTAGTGCTAAGTACATATAAGAGAGAAACAAAATTTTAACATTATAGCCTCTTATATTTGACGATGTATTTAGACACTTAACATATTACTGAGTTGAGTGACCCACAAAAATATTTAGACATGCCACTTAAATATAATCATACTGTCTGCATACAGCTGATCGACGTCTCGTCCTCAGGCGTCAGCTGACTAATCAGCAACATCTTTATTTCATCACCACAGCCTTTTTTTTTACTGTCTCTTTTTGGTGTCTCGTTGTAGCTAACATACTTCAAAACCCCTTGAATTCCCAAAGATTTCAGTTTCTTAGTATTTAAAGATATGGCCTGTTGTCATCAAGTTCAATCCAGTCAGAGTAAATACATGCTAGATCTCAAATCACTATATTTCCATCTAAGACAATTTTACTGGACTAGAAAATACAATCAAGTCTCTGAGTTCTTGCTTAAAAAAGTTTATCTGGAATATTTAGGAAAATTTTATTTTACTGTTACCAGTTGCACCATATATTTACACCAAGTGTGCTGAAACCAGGGCAATATGTGCCTTGGCTGATGTCTCTTGAGCAGTGTCTACACCCTAAATTTTGTTAGTCACTCAACAGTGAATCCCACCCAGATATTCTACTCAGACACAGCTGCTGTCTGACTAAGTTTTGCCAAAAAAAAAAACCCAAAAACCTAAAGAAAGATTATACCTATGTTTTTGTGTATTAGACTTTCAAGGCTGAATTAAGGAGAGGGGACGGATAAACAGACTCTATACTAAAGTGTATACGTTTAGAAATACATGCCATTAACAGAGTAAAGCTTCAGAGTTTGAAATAAATCTGATCTGTTTATGACTGAACTAATACATTAGTTTATCACATTTCTGATTCATGCAGAATCACATACACCAACAGAAGGTCTGACGGATCAGTTTGCTCCTGTGTAAGGCCTAGATTAGATAATGCCATAAATGTTAGTTTGTGAGACTGATACATGGATTGAATTAAGAGCTAAAGTTTATTCCTCAGTTTATTTCATGTCTGTTGATCTGTTGCACATCTCTTTCTATTTTCTGTATACCTCATTCCCTCTCACTCTGTCTTCTATCAGATACAGAAACATGTGACTACGGCTGGCATAAGTTTCAAGGCCACTGCTACAAGTACTTCCCTCAGAGGAAAAACTGGGACACAGCAGAGAGAGAGTGCCGCATCAACGGGGCTCATCTCACAAGCATCCTGTCTCACGAGGAGCAACAATATGTCAACCGTAAGTTCACGACAGGTGTAAATAATTAATAATACTTTTGATAAATGTGATAAAGATGATACTTAATTAAAAAAAACCTAATTAATGGGAAATTTTCTCTCATAAAGCCAACTCAAGAACAAATACATGTTTGGGTAGAGACTATGCAAGATAAGGGTTCGAGCAATGAAAACGTCCACGTTATCTTGGGCTTTCTCCTGCACTTTATCTGACTTACCAGTCCTAAAATGGAAATAGGCTAACTGAGGAATGTAACTGGTTGTGTTTTACTTGGCAGGTCTTGGACAGGACTACCAGTGGATCGGCCTGAATGATAAGATGTATGACAACGACTTCCGCTGGACCGATGGTCGCCCTATGGTAAGACAGGATGCTTTCTTACATATTATCGACTCAACAAACATGGCACTGGAGCAGTGTAAATATGCGCAATACTGTTGACAGATTTAGTCATTTAGGGAGGGTCTTTCCTTTCTGGGAGTCGCATTGCCGTTCTCATGACGCATTCTCCTCCGCCTCATGTCGCTACACCCTGGTGACCGCTGTGGTAATAAATCTGATGGAGAACATGGTGTATTTCATTTTAACTCCTTTTAATGAGTATGAGCTCTGTGTAGAAAAACAAATAGCTTCCACAAAGCAAAAATAAATAAATTAATTAAAAGTTAGAGTTAATATTTGCTGTAGTCCTTCTAGCTGCTGACCACTAAACAGAAAAGAAACTAAGTACAATATATAGTGTGCTTAAGATTTGCACACACTGACGTTCTTCAAAGATGCCCTTTCAGACCCAGAGAAAGGCAGGAAGCATTGAGCCAGCCTGGGGGTTAAAAGATAAGCACAGGCCTGCTGTGGAGGCTGTTTCACTGCTGAAGGAATGAGGGGTGATGAAGGTGTGAGTGACACAGTGGAGAGGGGACTTTGTCAGGCGTAGACAGGTACGGTTCCTCTTTATCCCCCACACTCATGAGCAGGTCCAACCAACAGGCAACCACCCAGGGAAAAAGGCCACCAAAGCAGGCAGACACACAGATGGACAGCACCTGTGCTCAGCTGTAGAATGAGTAAAAAAAAAAATACACTGGATTGAGGGTGCCCAGGGGGTCTGTGTGGGTGGTCACCTCCAGTGGACTTAAATGTAATAAATAAGACTGATTTTAAATAACTGTGAACTATTTACAACGACAAAAGAAAAGACCAGTGATTAAATAATTACTATAGAGAATTGAAACACACAGGCTGGAAAATCTTCGGATGTGTGTTTAGGTGTGGGTGATCAAAGTTTGTTTGAATGTTCTGAGGAGGATGCAGACCTGCTGAGGAGTTGATGGGTCAGCCATTTGTTAACCTGAAGCAAGCTGAGCAGGAAGTCAGAGCATGTTTGTTAACCATAATGAGAGAGCAGCGGAGCCTCAAGGCATGATTGGTGGGGTGAGGGGGGTGGGGGTCTGTCACAGCTTTGAAGAAAGCTTTTGAACCTAGAATGTGCTGAAAGACTGCAGGTAGCACCGATGCCAGCTCGAATGCCTCGCAGCATTGCAGCTGTGTGTATGCTGTATTAATGTATGAATGTACATGTGCTGTTGTGGAATTTTGTTCCTGGAGATGTATAATCGTAACGCTTGACATGTCGGCTAATGATGAAAAGACATCACATACTAATGGGTGTCCGTTATCCCAAAACTCTGTAGTGTGAAAGACACATTAGTTGTTACACGGGATACCAGTCATGCCAAGTATGCGATACTGAATCAGGGGTGTAGACTGACACCCCTGACTATAAAATCCAAGCTACTCTTATTTTTGTGTAAATAGTAGGTTACTGTGACATTTACAGCAGGATAATGCAGATGGTTCTTCTCTGGACAAAGTTTATGAGCCCATTTTATAAACCTTTCGTTTTTGCCTTTTGAGTCTGGTTTGCTCAGAATTGGCCTACATAAAGATACACTTTCTCCCTCTTGTGGACAGTAATTAGAATTGCAATGATGAAAAGGAAAAGGAAAAAGAAAAGGATTTTGGCTTCACTTTTTGCTAGCGAGATATGTAGCAGGCACAATATTTGTAGTGATTTGGTAACCTTTACCGTACAAGTGCCTATTGGTATACACATTGCCCTAACAAGCAAAAAATGCTCAGTTCAATCTTGGGAGGAGACGCTATTCCCTTTTGGCTTGTGTCAGGAAGGAAATTTGGTATAAAAATCTGCCAAATCAAATATGAAGAGCTACTGCTGCAGTGACCCTTCAACAGGAATGTCTATAGATAATGTCTGTAAATAGTGTCTATTTTACTCATAAAAAAGCAAAGCTGTTAGGCTTAGAATGTAGTTTAATAACAGTAATGTTTTACTCTGTTGCCTGCTTATTTTAGCAATATGAAAACTGGAGGCCCAACCAGCCTGACAGCTTCTTCTCTGCTGGCGAGGACTGTGTGGTGATGATATGGCATGAGGATGGTCAGTGGAATGATGTTCCTTGCAACTACCACCTCACTTTCACCTGCAAGAAGGGCACAGGTAAAAAACAAAGAAACAAAAAAATCCACTTTTTTAAAATTTTCTTTCGGTAAAAATGCAAACCCATAGTTCCTGTAAAATTCCTTATCAAATGCCTTTGTCTCATCTGGTTTACAGTGGCCTGTAGTCAGCCTCCTGTGGTAGAGAATGCACGTTCCTTTGGGAAGACACGTGAACGGTATGAGATCAACTCGCTGGTGAGGTACCAGTGCCGTATAGGCTTTATTCAGAGACATGTCCCAACTATCCGTTGTCGTGGAAATGGACGATGGGATATCCCGAAAATCAGCTGCATGAACCGTAAGTACACAAACTGTTGCTCTCAATAGAGAGACATTACTCTGATGGTATGGAGTGCCAAAAGTGCCAAAACTGGAAAAAATAAAAATAAAAATAAAAAATATATATATATATATGTATATAACATTTAGTATGTTATTTATTCATTTAATATTTTTATGCTTGCATTTATTTATATGTTGTTACTTGTTTGCATTTTGTCCCAGCCCTGAATATTTATCATATTTTCTTAATACATTGGCATTTAACTGCCCTCAGATGCCTATTAGGAGCAACCCTTATTTCTGACGTGCATGGTTTCTGAATTTTCAAAATTTGTCATTAAATGTTTTCTTGTTGTCAAACGTTATCTTTATGGGCGAAAGAGTTAATGCTTAATTAATGCATAATTTGCTTTAAAACAGCTGTGGTTATGTTCTAAATAAATACTTTTCGTTTCGAGTTTTCATTGGCTAAAATATATTTTCCTGATCAGCCAACAACAAAATTTGACCTTCATTGTAATATTGAAGCACAGAGAACAACATATATTTTGGTGCATTTAATAAGATATAAACCTATTTACTGAGTTTGGTACTCAGCATTAATCCAATGTGTAAGATTTTGACAAATAATTATAGTTTGAGAGCTAAAATGTGATTTTTCCCCCCAACAGCCTCAAGCTATCAGAGGACCTTTATCAGAAGGCATCAGCACAATAGTCTCTACAGCATCCACAACTTCAATAACTGGCAAGATGAGTCCTTCCACTTTCGTCATCAGCTCCGCCGAGGAAGGAGACACAAAATAGAACATAAGTGGAAATAACATGGCACACCTGAGACGAGAGCACGTGCCAGATGCTTGTTTGAAAAGAACAAAAAAAAAAAAGCACATGAGAAAACTTATCAAAGAAAAAAAAAACAACCTGCAGTTTTTGCCAATGGAATCTTACAAAGTGCCTTTTATAGAGATGTAGATACAAGACTTTTTCTTATCAAGGGGCACTATTTTATAATAATGCCAATGTGGATTAAAAAAAGTTTCAGCTGGCTACTGGAAAAGCAAAAACTACTCTCATCATACTTAAAAAACACTAAAATCACCCTTTTTCATGATGGTTGTCTAGTCAATTTTAAAATCAACTGGGCTATTTAAAATCTATGCAAGTGTTCATTTTCTAATAGAAAGAAAGAGATTATACTGCTCATGTAAATATTAATATTGTGCTGTTTTAATTTGGGCTTCCTTTTTATTGCGCTTGCAAAGAACTCATATCGCATGAGTTAAACATTATGTTGCATACAAAGAACTATAAACTTTCTTACATACAGATCTTTTCCCAGAATTTATAGCTCATTCTATAAAGCGGCAAATTATACCCTGACATGGTTTGACAGGTTTCCTGTATAGTAGTTATTCACATTCTAGATTAAAATATCACAAGTCTGGGGAAAGTTTTTCACTGATTGCTTGGTTATCAGCTTCTTTGTGATGGCAGCTTTTAGTATCAAATTATCACCTTTCATTCTCTTCTGCTGTCATCAGATATATGTCAGACTAAATGTTTATAAAGAGATTTCTATAGATAGATTTTTAAAAATGTAACTGACATTTTCTTTTGTAGGAGACAGTTCAATATGAAAGATTGCTCTCTAAGTGCCTATCGACAAAGCCTTTATCAACAGATGGAAATTGATGACTATCGTCTACTTCAAAAGGAAAGTGTAGCTCAAAAAGCCTCTATTTTCTGCTCAAATATGTTCATTGCATAGCCTTTAATTAGTCACAACAGCATGTTTACAATAAATTATATAACTAATGCTGTGCATAATCACACACCAAAGACTCTTGCTGTCATCTGTTGTGGGGTAGCTTATATGTAAGTCTTTTTTTTTCTCTTTTGGTATGATTTCTAAAAAATTTGTTTCTGTTATTGTGGTCAATTAAGATCAGTCATTGAGAGAATGTATTTTGTGAATCACTCAGAAAGACTTGAACGTAACAGCTGTTTAGGCAGAGATGCGTATAATTTATTTTCAAGCTGCTCTTGATTGCTTTACTTGTTTTACTGATAAAATATGATTCTGTCACTTGGGCCTCACGGGGATTCTTTTTAAATGTTTTTATTGTTTGTTCACCAGGACGCCGGCAACATTTGCATGCTAACAGTCTAAAAGTAATTACTCAGCAATATGATCCATTTACATGCCTTCTGCTTTTTCTTTCTTCTTCTTCTTCTTTTTTTTTTTTTCAACTTTAATGCCAACAGTGGACCAAAGAACTCAGAGACACACATCAGCAATAATCTGCATCGATTTTGTTCTGTAACATTAACAGACGTGAATTTTTTTTAAGGAGAAATGTTGTTTTGTTGTCTGAGTATTTGTCTGTGTGTTTTAGCCTTGATGTGCACATAATATAATTTTATATTTATAAGTGTTTCTTTTTTTAAAGATTACTTTACAATGTGAATGGTTGGTACGTTTGTGAATTTAATGTTTTTTTTAACTGTTGTTTTTCCTGCTTTAAATCACCAATGAAATAAAAATAAAGATACAAATATTATTTACTTACAAAATTTGTTGACCAGATTTTTTGCAGATCTTATTCAGTTCTAATTAGTCCAGAGTTTGTCCTTCTTGTAATGTTTTGATAGTGTAGCAATCTTATTACACTTTTCTTTATTATGATGAGAGTTTTTATTATATAGGAAATGTGCTGCAAAATTGCAGAAGCCAAGTAATGAAGTTGAACAAATTTTAAAACATGGGTCTTCTTGTACTAAAGCTGATTTAGGATGCAGTGTGCACTACAGTGATTTCCCCAGCAGGTAGTGCTATCAGCCTTACTCATGAACCGGAGATTTTTTCTGCTATCACGTTTCATTTTTTTTTAGCACCCACACAACCTATGGACACTAAGCATATAATGATGAATTTAAACTTCATGTGAATCGCACTGTGTGGAAAATCATACCAGTATCCAATTTTTCAAAGTATTGCGGTGTCTTACACATACATCACACACTTGTAGAAAAACCTATCAGACATGCTCTGCAAGCCTGTTGGTAGACAGTTGGTACATCCAGGGGGAGAAGATAGGAAGTGGCAATGTGGATGTGAATTGTAGCAAACATATTGAGCTAAAACTGGATTAGGGAAAAGTGATGCCATGCAGAAAAGGCTGATGCTTCAGTACTGTGAACCTGCATAAGGATACCCCACTACCTTTCTCTTTTCTTTTTAGTGAATTGCATGAGTGTCAAGTGGTCTTCTTGAAAAACATCTTGAGTCTACATGCTGGTGGATAAAGGATCCACATGAATTCCCTGGGTGGAAAATCAAAAGCTTTTTGACTACGTTACCTTTCACTACTACTCCCACAGTGCCTGTTTATGCAGCAGTCACTTGGAGTTCACATTGTTGCTTACTAATAACACAAAGCACCATTACCTGAGTAACAACATCAAGTTGGTCATTGTAATCTGTGTGCAAGCTAAGCTGCGTTTTTCTCTGTGAGTGCCAACTCTGTCGTTAAAGGAGACGTGACTTGTGATTAATGGCTACTCCTGGATGCTCCGCATCGAGTCAGACCTGAAATCCTGCCTGTGCTAGTGTGCTAAGCCCGAGTTTCACTGGGATTTAACAGAAGTTCTAGATTTATTTTGGAAATGAAATGCTCCCAAGCTCTTATTGACTTCTTCAGCTTAGCAGGCACCTTAGAATAAAGTGTACCATTCACTTAATGCCATAATGTTTGGGTTTTTTTTATTTTCCAGACATGCATATCTGGAATTCTGTCAAGCATCTGGGATGTAGCTAAATAGCTAGACTAGTGCACTGCACTGGACTGGTTGAAGTCAACAGACTGCTCATTGATTTGACTGTCTGCCTAAACACACAGAGGCCCAAAGAACAGCTCACTTGATGCCAGCTGTTTAAATACATGTATATAGTCTTTTGTATAATACAAGTGCAAAAATCTATAGTTTATGTACACAGTTTATTCCTCAAAAATATCTGCTGTTGCTTTTAGCTGCATTATCCAAAAAAAGTTACCTAAGATGGATCGCACACATTTACATTTGTCTAGCATTTGCCTGCTGTATCCACCTAAATCTGACCCCGTTCCCAGAGATTCCCACAAGCCTCTTAAAGACTGTGCTACTGTTCCCTTTGTCTGACTTAGTGGTGAGTTGGCAGCCTGGCACTGAAGATAAAAATGGCAAAGAATAAATGAATGTGGGGAGAGTCTAATCTTAAGTCCTTTCAGTTGACGTGGCTTTACGCCAAATTCATGGCCTCCAATTTGGCAACTTAAACAATCCCATTTAGGTGCTTAAACTTCAACATCTCCACATGCTGCATGATTTTGCTCCAGTAAAATAAGAAGGAATGCAATTTTTAAAAAAGGAATATATGATTCAAAATGGATTTAAGAGTTGTGTTCTTTATTTCAAACAGCTTCATTTGAAAAGGTACAAGGTGCTAAGATACAAAATGTTTTTTCCTTGACAACTTGAGTTTTATTATTACAAACAATGCATCACCACATTATTGCATGTGTTCTACAATGAGTGCCATATCTCTGTATCTCTAGAAAAGTTTTGTTGCACCTCTAATTACCATCTGTGAGTGTGATTGATCATCAAAATACGAATTGAAATTTTGCAGCTCATAGCAACAATACGAAGATGTGCAACTGCATCAGTGGTCATGTGCAACCAAACATTTAATAGTCATATATTAACTGCTGTAACATTAGATTTCTTCTAGGAAATGCCACTCGTGTGTTGGGACAAATTACATCTTCAGTTTAACTTCTCTGCTAAAATCCTACTAGTGTTAGAAACTTAATCTGTAGTTTTTCTTGAAAAGCACATTATGCACATGTAAAAAAAAACAAACAAACAAACAACAAAAAACTATCAGTAACCCATCATTAAAAAGTAAAAACCTTTTGTTAGGACAAAAGAATACATTGCATTAGATTATAGTGGTCTTTCCGACTGTAACTGGAAATTGTGGTAATTGAAGCTTTCACAGCAAAAAGAGTTGTAGACCAAAACATTTACCTTCATTTTCTTTCTAAATATTTTGATCACAACTATTCTGTCTGAAAAGATTTTTTTTTTTAAATTTTTCAGTTTCAGAAGCTAAAAGCAAACAACATGCAAACGATCACTTTGTGCAGGGTAACAAGTACCCATAGCAGTTTGTAATAAATTTAACGTAATTCCCAAATGCCGAACTCGATAAAAATAAAATGTCACACTTTTCTGTTCTTGCAGACTTTAAAGCAGCACATGTCAACTGCACGTGTCCATATTTGCACTACATTTGGAACTTCACAAATCCAATCATGTTTTGCAGGACACAAACTGTAGTCAGATTATGCTAACCATTTACATCTCTGTCTCTGTTTCATCAGTCACACTTTGACAAAATAGACCTTTACTTAATACTCTGTGTAAAACCAATGAAAGCCACCTATAGGAAAATGCAAAACATAATAGCTACAGGTCATTTTTTTAATTCTTAGGAGGGTATAAGATGTATGCATGTATGTATATATATGTATTTTTAGGGTTATCACAGCTTTAGAAAGGTACTGGGTTCATGCTAGATTAGATCAAAAGCTTATCTGCTTCATTGTTGATTTTACTGGTTGTGGCTTTGCTGCTCTTTGGTGGTCATGGCTTATTTAGACCTATCTATCCCATCACTGATCAGGCTTGTAGCAATACACGCCATAAGACTTCACTCTCTTGTCAGGAAACCCAACAAAGCGCACTGCTTCTTCTGTGGGGCTGCAGTTCTTCCGTGGCCTGGAGATGGGGTACCGGACACTTCCATCAGCCAGCCAGCCGGCATCACAGCGGTCATAGCCTTCAAGCTTCCAGGCAGCAAACATGTGGCCCACCTTGGCAATCTCTGCACCATCATCTCTGCATGCCTTCACAGCCTCATCGAAGGTCAGCCTTTCAGGCTGGACCAGCCAATAGAAATGACCTGACAGCAGATAAGGCAAACAAGACAGAATAATTCAAGCAGATGTGCTACTATATAAACGTACTAGTCTTTGTGGTCACTGCATTTCATGTACAAAGACATTTTTATTAACTGACCTTTGATTGCAGTAGTATAGCAGAACACATCAAATTGCCTAATCTTCTGTTGGCGTCCATAGGTTCTGAGGCCAGGCCCATTGTTGGAGCCACCACAAGGATGTCTGGGTTTGGTGATAGGATACTGCACTGTGCCGTCACTTAACCATCCAGCGTTGCACCAATCCAACCCGCCTTTCCACGCAGCAAGCAGCTGTTCATGTGAGGCAATCACAGCTTCCTGGTCCTCACAGGCTTGCACGGCATTGTGGAAGTTCAGGTTGTATCGGCCCAAAGGAGGGTAGTATGGGAACACGACGCCTGAACGAAGTAGATCAGATGAAAATATGAGGAAGAAAGCAAGTGTTGTCTCTCTTGTTTTTTCTCTCTTGAATATTATTTATATATATAATTAAATTTTGCAGAATACAGTATAATAGTACAATAGATAGTACAATCCCGTTCGGGGGGGATACGTTCGTGATGCTGCATGGTAACAAGCGTATACCAGGTTGTTTTTTTTTTTTTAATGAAATTGAATATATTATTAAATGAATTTCAAAAAAGTGTAAGTATGGAAATAGTAACAAAACAAAATAACAAAACACAATAAAACAGGATTTACCAGTCATCAGACCAGCATGCACCTCCAAGATAACCTCTTGCAGTGAATCTTCAATCCCGTTGTCGATGTTACAGTGATATTTTCCCTTGTCGTCCGTGGAGACTTCAGTCATTATTAAGGAGGCATCTTCATTGTCGAGGTCTTGCAAGAAGACACGGCCCTCAAAGCTCCCATAGGCCCTGATATGTGGTCCCATTTTAACCAGCACATCCTCGTTCAGAGCTTCATCATCTTCCACCTTTGTCCATTTTATCCGGTGTCCATTGTCGCCAAAGGACACCGTGTCTGAGGACAAGATCCTGCAAGGCAGGGTGATGTTGCCACCTAGTTCAGCAGAAACCTTGACTAGAAAAGAAGAAATATGATATAACCTTTCTGCTCTTGTTTAGAATTAAGATACTTGGATAAAAAAAACAAAACAAAAAAAACCCCTTAGTATAACATTTTTATGTAATGATTTTCAATGCAAAAAAGGGAAAAAAATTGTAGAAACACTTTTTTAAACTTCTCCTTGTTGCCTTTTTTTGTTTGCCTTGTTAATGAAACAGCTACACTACGTATTTTGGCACGTCTAGAATGTTTGTATTATTGTAATATACAATACACAGTGTGACATCTGAAGCATTGCATCACACAAAGCCAGTGAAGAGTCTGGAGTCTGTTTGGTTTATTAAATGTAATATTGGGCACCGGCCAGTCCTCAGCCCTGAAAGCCAATAATCCTTTTTCAGTCTCCTTCCTGCTGTTGTCAGTACTTGCACTTATAAGACGTTAGTTCCTCAGCATTAACCCACAAAATGAAGTGCTTTTCT